TTTATTGTCCTAAAACTTTACATGTGTACGAGTTTGTTTTTCTGAATTTATGGACATCTTTATTCTGCCGTAGATTTAACTAAAAGCGGTTGATGACGTTGTTGTTTTGATGAAGATGTTTAACAATGAGTCAGAAGAGACAGCTAGATGATATTTTGGATCATATTTCACCTTGAATTTGGTGAAAAGACATTCAGTTCTGTTAAAGACAATACTTATCGTCGTTATAGTATATGATTTCATCATGTAAATTTTTTTAACTTAAACAAAACCTATTGTTGATGTTTAAATTTGCTAATAATAAAATGTCATAAAATTAGACGTTTTTCTTTCATACCGAGGCTGCTGTGCTGTTCCACGAACTCCTGCATCTCCAACAATTCCAATTGCAAAACCAGCCGCTACAAAGGAAATAAAAGACTCTTATTATGAATAATTCATCATTTAGAGACAGATCTAGATTAGAAAACGTTGATTACATACCTAGTCCAGATAATCCAACCGATAATCCAGCTCCCAATTGTAAGAATGCTCTAAAAAGATAAAATATAACCATTAATAGATAAGTGCTATACGAGCAAGAGAATAATATATTACTTGAATAATCCATAACCTTCTCCTTGAATATTATTAGCAATGAGCACGGCAACAACTAGACCATAAATCGCAATAATACCAGCCATAACAACCGGAATAACGGATTTCATAATGAATTCTGGTTTCATGACTGCCATTGCGGATATACCACAACCAGATTTTGCTGTACCATACGCAGCTCCAAGTGCTAAGAAATTACAAAGTTAGAAACTCTTAATAGTCGATAGTTGACCTTTTACTTGTTAGTAATGTCGCTAAAATCTTACGAATACTCTATGAATTTAGATTTTCTCTGCAACATATTGTATCGACAAGACCTTGATTTGACAGTCTAATTTCTCTAAATCAACCTTATTTCAATTAAATACTCAGTAGACTTCTACAGATACCTAGCGTTGGCTGTTAATAGTAACCAATAAAGATAGTAACCAAGAAATATAAAGTGAGTCAGACATACATTTGTCTCACGAATATAAGTTTGCATGGGCATTCTATTCCACCATTCGGCAAATGTAAGTTGTGTTTTGTTTTCGAACTGTTTGTTCTTCTTCTTTGTGTGTAATTCATTAAAGACGAGGAACAGAACTCAAATGATAGTCTATAATCTACTGATTTCCCCCACATTTGTATAAGGATCATTTAAAATTTGCGCCTAATATTCAAGCTCAAAAACTTTGCTCTAGCAGTAGAATTTCTAACAATTTGCCACATTGTGGACTTGGAATCATTGATCAAAAGATTTTCAAATTGATCATTTCTTTTACAATTGTGCATTTATATAGAGAAAAAACAAGACCAACAGAATGCTAGAAAGTTCATGTATTCAAGATATTTATTAAGTGTTCAGAACTCAGTTATGAAAAAATTGAGTTGATTATCTCGATCTCATTCCACTCAACATCTTCACTAAGCAAATCGCAGACTTGGAAAATACCAAACGCACTAGTGCCTTCGATCACTGTCTATTGGAGAGAGATAAGTCATTTAACCTTTGATAAATTTTTATTACGTTCAGATTCATAGTTTAATGCTTACTAACCGCTAAATACAATGGCAGCAGTTGCTCCCATAGCTCCAAAGAATGCACTGTATGCCGGACATTTTTCTGTGACTCCTTGAACCATATTGTTAAATGAAAATAATTAGAATGGAGAAAATCGGAAAATAATAATAAAAAATAGATATGGATATTGCTTTTCTTGTTCTTTGACTAGGCTTGTGAAGATATACACTGGCTCATAAATTTGTTGTTTATTTTTTGACAGTAGTAAATCACTATGATAAAATAATCTTAAACAAAAAAAGAAAAGATAATAATTATAGAAAAAACAAACTGCTCAATCGAAGAAGTAGGGTAAACATCACTCAAAATATATCATTTTTTTCTCTCGTTTTCCTGTCGTTTATTAGTTGATCTCCTGTAATTTACTTACTGGTATAAGTTCAACGAAGTTCTTATGAATAAAACTGAAGTTGTATCTTCTTTCGGTAGAAAAATTTCTTCAGTATTAGTTTAATATGTCAAAAACGATATCCTGCTAGTTAGTAGTTATTAGGCAGAAATAAGGCTTGTCAGATTTCTAAACTTCGGGAATTATTCATAATATTATTGGTCATCCTATGTTTTCAACTTCTTCATCAACCAGACCGATAAGGCAAACATCATGTGTATCGGAAGATGTCATACTCATGATGATAAACAAATGACCAATGACTCATTAAAAACAAAGATATTTCTAAAGTCAATTGAACAAATTCAACAGAAACATGAGTTCATTTCAAATTATGATCTGTTTGTTGATCGGCTGTTTTTATCATAAAAAAATTTTAGCTGTATTTTTCACATCTCTACGTACTCGTAATAGGTTTTTAACATACACGAAAATTTGTCACTGTACTTTTTTGATCTTTTCCATTCAAGAATAAATAATAAATGAGGTGTTTGATAAAAGACAAAGACACACAGTTATCTGTTTGACACTTGAAATTTTTCAAACATAGAGCACCTATGCCTAGAAGAAACAAATTTACGCAACACCTTTCTGCTTGAACAAGCATCTTACTCTGACACTTCTAACCAGTAATAGAAAAAATTGGAGAGTATGTGCATCGAACGAGTCTACGATTTCTTTCACCTCTCCATCTGCGAAAAACGTTAGAACTATGACTAATTAATGAGTGTTTCAATGCAAATTTATATGACCAAGAACCGGAAAAAATCTCACCATGTGCTTCTGATAGCCCGTGTCGAGTTGTGGAGGGAATCATGTTTAGTTGCAAAAAGACGCATCCTTTGGTGAGAGTAGTGGCTTAAAATAACTCGCTTTTTCCACAAACTTGTCTAGTAAACGGTCTTTTTTGTTCAACACATATATTTTAAAAAGGCGAACACGGCCATTCGATAAAGTGCAAAAAGTTGTAATTATAGAGTAATTTTCATGCTCATAACTCAAAAGGTCTTTGCCTTGCAAGACTGCGGGCCTTATTAAAAGGCCAAAATGACATATCACTGGCAAAAAAATAAAGTTGGTTTTGAGTTTCTGAAAAGTGCTTTTTCGTATTCAGCACACCTGATAATCCCGAAAATTTTCTATTTTTGGTGTGAGGTACTTTCAAAGTTTAGGAAAAATTTTCAAACTAATATTATTTTCCGACGGAAATTTTTTTGCGCTATTTTGTTTCAAAATTTTTCCTAAACTTTGAAAGTGTTTCTTGAAAACTACACATTAACTTTTTGAGACATCTTTATGTAGCTGTTACTCGACTACTAATGTAGAAGTTTCAAGGTTTTGACTTCCGCAGATGATTTTTTTGAAAGAACTACCCGAAAAACCCAGTAAATCCCTAACCGTTAAGTCGCACTAAGAAAGAACAAAAGACCAATTGACTATGGGCAACATTCCATGCTGAACACGAGTCCAGAGCTAATTTCGGTATACGCTTAAAAAAAGCTGAAAATGCGCATCGATATCATTGCACGCCATGTGTCACACACTTCGACAAAGATAGATGCTCCCGCGATGTCATGGCTTTTTCTATAAAAAAATTTCAACGCCGTATTCGCAAAAACTTTAGTAACGACGATACTTTATGATTTCTCAAAATAGCACCCCATTGATAGAGATCAATGCCGTACTTGTTTTTTATCCGTGTGGCACGATTATCATAGGCACTAGTTTTAAACTGTGGTGCACTACTACAGCGTCGTTTCTTTCACTAGAAGGACAAGCTGTAGTGCAAACTTCAAAGAAATTCACAAATTACCATGTGTCTCAGATAGCATAAACGATTCCGAAACAAAAAACTAACTCAGAAAACCGCTGCCAAAAATTGCATCGATAAAGATCATACCCGATGAGTCATGCGAGCGCTTATCGATGTCAATTTAATGAGGATAAAAACCTAAATTAGTGCGCACGCGCATCGATGAGCATGTTTGCTAAGGTAATGTCATTACTGTTATTTTATGAAGAGTATTGTGCAGCCTGAAATGGGATTTACATGACTTTTAACGAGTTATTGCAATAAAAAGAAGCTTTATCATGCAAATCTTGGGAAGATGCATGAAAACACCATAATTTCAATGATTGTTTTATTTATTTTTGTCATTCCTTCTCACGATCGCACTGCACTGAAGAAAGATGAAACCATCTTTTTTCGGTGGTAAATAGTAATATTGAGTAAAGAGGTTGATGTTAATTCATTACAGTTCACTGAACATTTGGAAAATACCAGAACATAATAGAAATTCATCAAAGGTCAAATGACTTATCTCTCTCTAATAGACAGTGATCGAATGCACTAGTGCGTTTGGTATTTTCCAAGTCTGCGATTTGCTTAGTGAAAGTGTTGAGTAGAGTGAGATCGAGATAATCAACTCAATTTTTTGATTTTCCAGCCTGATTGTAAAGATTTTTCTCGTATCTTATATTTGCTATCTATTAGACGTATCAGTCCAGATAGGTTAGAAACAAAGCGTCATAATCAACGCATTGCTTTCTCAACATTTACGTTGATTGTAGAGCCTTGCTCTTTATTGTTGCTCATAATGTATCTTAACTGCCCTTATTTCATTTTATCTATTTGCTTGAATAACTCAACTAAAGTAGTTATTCTCTTTGAATCTACATAAAGATTAAGCGTTTTTACATCGGTGGCCAGTTTTAAATTCCATAATTGAATAATTCGAGCCAATACAAAGGAAAGCTCAGACCTCAAGCATTTTCTATAGTTAAGTGCACATCTCAATATAGTAGTCTTATCGAAAAAGTTATCTCGCGCAAACAGTTTGGTTTCCTGTTGTGATTCGTTTAAGTTGTCGACGGTTTGGAGATTTCAAATGTTGTGAAAAAAACGACTTTCGAAAGTATTACGTTTATTTCGTTTAGATCGATTTTTTTCGCATGCTCTCTGCATTGACCTTTCCAAACTTTATCGGTGGCGTTTGTGATAGTAACAGTTCTTCTACTTCTTCATCAAGGATGGACTGTGATTATCATTCAACACCAAAAGAGAAACGTCGACCATGGCTAGACGAAATACCTGAAGAAACCGTTGCTGCCACCACCACTGTTACTGCGAATGTTTTTGCAAGCCTATCCAATAACAATTTTCCACCGTCACCGCTCATGGGTTTAACCGATGTTAATCGACAACAACTCTATTCAACGCCGCAAATTCGTATTGTCAATAATCCATTCGATCCGCCATCGTCGAGTCATCTTAAAGAAAGATTAGCAAGTCCGTCAATATTTAAGCAAGACTTAAATAACGACAACAAAGTATGTTAGCTTTCATTAGACAAGTACACGAATGATGTTTTGATGATCCAATGTTTACTTTTCAATTATTATTTTTCTTTTTTCTAGGAGAACACTGTATATCAGTTGCCAGCTGAAAAACGTGCTGTAATCAATCCAGTTAATATCAGTGAAAATATTGTACAGATAGATGCAACGATACTGTAATTCTAATAAAAGAAAAGAAACATATTTAACTTGTGAAAATTGGTTGATTCTGCATTTTAGTAATGAAAATTTACAACAACGTTATCAACAGGCAGCTGGCGAATTTTGTCATCGTCACTTACATTTACCCACACCAGCTCAACCGCCACCAGCAACATTTTTTATTAATAATACAACGTCTGATCGTTATGGTTAGTAACGGTGATGTGATTTTTTTCTCTTCGTTTTACATTTATAAGTTTTCAAGATGTTATAAGCGACAATACTGTATTGTTCCACTCATAGGTATTTGGTTGTGTTTTCACAATATCAAAGTTCATTGAGTGGTAGAGGAAATTTGAGGATCGAAAAGAAAAAAGTGTTACTTGATGGTGTGATATCTTTTGCAGACAAAGATCTTACAAGACAGTAATCTTATCGTACGTTATTACTCTTTCTGGCTCTTTGTTTTACATTTACAAGTTTTCAAGATGTTATAAACGACAATACTGTATTGTTCCACTCATAGGTATTTGGTTGTGTTCTCACAATATCAAAGTTCATTGAGTGGTAGAGAAAATTTGAGTATCGAAAAGAAAAAAGTGTTACTGGATGATGTGATATCTTTTGCAGACGATGGTCTTACAAGACAGTTCTGGCTACGTAACCTAAGTATTGCTAAAACGATGGATGCGTAGTTTAGAACCAGCTATGATCGATGTGAGTAAGGTAATATATTATATACAACTTTTATTTTGCTTTTAGGTTATTCTACCGCTACATTGAATGTCAGTCCATGGTTTAGTTTGAAGGCGACACCATTAAATAGTCAAAATTGTAAGTACCTTATTCATTCAGAGATTTGCGAATAAAATCACCGGTTAAAGTTGATCATATTCTTATACTGTAATCGGATCATGATTCGCATAGAGAAACATTTCTTGACTATCTCTTATATACTTGATTTTAACAGATATCAAGTATAAAAACGTTTACAAGACATATTTTCATGTTGTATACCGAAGAACTTTCTTTCAGCAGTTGAAGCTTAAAATTTGCCCCTTATTATTACTGGCAAGTTATACGGATTTCGGATTCTATTGTAGTTACAAGTCGAATCCAATTACCAGCTGATTTTGAATCAATGATGATTCAATCGTTTACGTCAAATTCCGGTTTCACACCATCATCGTCAGCAGAGAATACAACAAATAATGATGATAGTGGAAGTAAAAGTCAGAGTGGAGCACAGGTGAATGTATCTCTGTTAAAACGACGATTATTTCAAGATAATCTAGACGAACAACAACAAGATAATCAGAATGAAAATGGTGATAAAACACCAGAAGAAAATGATGATAATGATTTAATTACTCATGATCCAAATGATTTTGAGCATGATTTAGATAAGTCATTTACGCAAGAGGATTGGCTCAAAGGTTTAAAAGACAGTGATAAACATAAAAAATGTCATGATTTAGAGACAAAGGTAAATATTTGTTCTTTGATAGAAGATGATACATGTGTGAATACTTGGAAAATCTGTATCAAAGTTAAAAAACTGAAACTTCTATCGAAATCGCGAACTACAGCAACTGTTTTCCAATTGATCTAGTTCAGTTCGAGATAAATGTAATCCTTTTCTACTATATTTGATCACGTGTAGAATTGTTATTATTTATGTACTATCATTATATTATTTATTTATTCTAGGAAGACCATCATGGATTTAGTCCACGTGATAAGAGTGTTTATGCATTATTTCCCGGTTGCTCACCAATTAAAAAAGAAGATAATTAGTCATGATATTCCGGTTGTCATAAACTAATGATTTACGTCGTTCGTTCAGATATTTTCTTGTCAGATATTTTTCTCTCTTGTTTGTTTCAGTAATTAATTAATTATTTTGCTCAAATATTTTTGTTGTCAGATAGAACGCATGATCTAAGTTATTTTTTCTTGTTATTGTCATGTGTGCTAACTGTTTGTATCTTCTTTTCTGAATATTCACTTTCTGTTTTGTATGTCGTAAAGACTAACCTTTATTAATGGAAAATAAATATTGATTAAGGTTAGTCACACACATTGTAATACTAACCTTAAAAATATTCATAGAGAATTGTTCATGAACAAAATATTATTTTCTGAAGTATGATTCATAATTTATTATACCAAATGAATCAATGTCTTTTTAACTTATATAGCTCTAAAGTTAGAAAAGAGGAGCATTTTAACGTAGCATAAAATAGTTAAAATATTCATGTAAGAACCTTAGCTCAGCTATGTAAACGTGATATCGCATTGAATTGTTGGAAGAAAATACTTTAAAAGGAAAATGGTGGACGGTTTCTGCAAGAAAATAGCTTCTTAAAAGAATATTATATATGAAAAAATGTGTCATTAAACAGGCTTTAAAATGATCAATAACACATCTTTTCAAACTAATGTCTTCACGGAGTTATTGATCAAACATTATATATGACTATTTGCTCCCCCATATATGCAACACTCATTAAATATAATAAAATGTATATAGTTTTGTAAGCGAACTCAGATCCGGCATGGTTTACACACAGAAAAAATGTAGAATTGAAAGGGCTACAGAGGGAGCTATAATAAATTCTTTCAAATCTTAAATTTGTTAGACCTATAGGTAAAAAAATGAAAGACATATTTTTCGTATTTTCCGATTAATTTCACTTATTTTAGTAACATGGGGCTTTTCTTAAACTGAATGCTATTTGATTAAACAGTGTTGCAGAGAGCTGAGAACCGTTTTGATTTGTTCAGAAATATTTTCTTTACACGATAAGACTGTTAAAAAGGAAATATCATTCGAATTCGGGGACTTGGTTTTGTAGGATTTTAGTGAAAATAAACGTGGTTTAATAGTTTTGAGAGCCACTGTAAATAAAAGTCGCGACAGTCACATGCTATTCACTACATAAATGTGTTACGGCGTACTTTGTTAAAAATCTGATGTATTTGAATTTGAAGCTCATTAAATTCTGCAGTTTTGTATACTAAAATCAGTTCGAGTCTGACTTTACGTGCAATGTTATATCTCATTCACAGTTCTACAATACGTCAAAATTATTGTATCCATTCGTTCTCTTGTCCATAAGTCTAACAAATTTAAGATTTGAAAGAATTTATTATAGCTCACTCTGTAGCCCTTTCAATTCTACATTTTTTCTGTGTGTAAACCATGCCGGATCTGAGTTCGCTTACAAAACTATATACATTTTATTATATTTAATGAGTGTTGCATATATGGGGAGCAAATAGTCATATATAATGTTTGATCAATAACTCCGTGAAGATATTAGTTTGTAAAGATGTGTTATTGATCATTTTTAAAGCCTGTTTAATGACACATTTTTTCATATATAATATTCTTTTAAGAATATCGAAATCACAGAAAAAAATGAATGAATAAGATCGAATAGGCTTTTTGGATCGATGCTCAGAAATGATTTAAAATTGCAGCATATGTAGTCTATAATCAACTTTTAAGGCGCAGAAATATTAAAAACTAATAATGAACAGTTCTTGATCAATTCCAGTCATTATCTTCTCAAAACCATATAAGGCTATTTTCTCGCAAAAACCGTCCACCATTCTTTCTCTAACTATGTATGTTAAAGTTTCATGGTTTGAAGTATGCAGGTTAAGAAAATGGTTTGTTGGAGATGATTTGAAATCATGGAAGAATATTTTAAAATACGTAGTGCTCGTATCGAAAACGAGTGATAAAAATTGTATTAGCCTCCAAAAAGAACTTTGTAAACCTTATTTTAAATTTAGTGGAATTTATATTTTGATTGCGGGTGCCATTGTTGTTGTATAAGATATCCGTATAATTTGTTTTTGTTTACTTTGCTGCTATTTTAGAAGTAAGAATAAAATATAAAATATTTCTCTAGTTTACATTTGTGCCTGTACGTATTTTTGATCAGTTAAGTTACTTGCTGGTTGATCATATTTGATAAAAAAGCGTGTGAAACGATTAATTCATTACATTAAAAAAATATATATAACACGTAAACACATTTTGATCATTTTGGCGTCCACATACAAAGTAGGAACAGCAGTGCACAACAAGATTGAAGAAGAAGTACAGATTTCAAGAGACATATTGATTCTCTCTCATAAGCATTGAAATAATAAATATTTTTCCTGCTCATTGATTTTGATTGATGTACTTGAGTTTGATAATATAATTCATTTTTTTCTTTTCTTCAGTTTTTTAGTGAATATAAGCAGATTTCAATGAATAAAAATAGAAGCTGTATGACATCGTCAATACAGCAATAAATGCATGAATACCTTTAGAAAAATCTCTGCTGGTGTCTGTAAAGGCATTATTCCCCATAAATTAAAAGAATAGGTGTAGTTATTGTCCAAGAATTGAAGAGAAATTTAATGATTTATTGTTCAAAGTTATCCCGATTGCTTCGAATCAATAAGATTGCATATAATACATACAGAAGTATATATCCTTATAAACGAGCACCTAGAATCAATCTTAGAGGTCGATATATAGTACTGGCCCAATGATGATCGTTGTTTTGGCTATGTAGTTTAGAAGTTAGATTCATTTGCGATGGCGACTCACTAATCTGACCAACTTACAGATAATTCTTGACGCTATCGAGTGACCCTTATAATTCAAAAGGGCAATTATTCAATATCGTGCTATGAAAGTTGATCCAAAATGCGGGCGTGCTAAGATTCTTGCAGCACGACAAAAACGCAATCGCTATGAAATCGTGACGTTTTATGCGATACTTGGCGTGAATGTATAATGCGATCTTGTCCCAAACTAAATAAGAAAGTTAAGTTGAGTGATGTATCCTCTACTCTTTCAAGAAAAATTTTTTGTTTACTAGTAGAAAATTCGAATTCTCAAACATCTGTTCATAACCTCTCTTCAATCGCGGAGTCCTTCGAAAAAAATTATTAACACGCAACTTGTTCCCTTCGTTTGCATCAAGCGCAGGAGTCTTAAATTGATGAAAAATCGGGCCTATACTGACGATCAAAGGCAATATCTATCATCAAGTTCATTTTCCGGACAGGTGTCTGTTACTACCTCTCAACAGAACTCAATTAGACTAAGGTTATATTGATAAAAAACAAGATAAGAAAGAAATTGTGTTAAAATTTGAAATTAGTTCTGAATGAGAAAATAAACACCTCGAATGTATTTTGAAATCAATGCAAAAAGACGTCACACACGAAGGAACAAAATCATCGGCTGAAGATCAAGAGAATATTGACGAGAAGACATTAGAAATTAATAAATTAAACCAAAAACAGCAAAAAGTAAAAAGGTTTAAAAATATTAACCGCCATAACGTCAAAGAAGACGGCAACTCAAGGAACAAGTAAAAGTTAACAAGTATTTCGTAGAGTAAAATCGACTGGACAATTCTACGCATTCAAAAAATATTCAGAATAAGGAGCTTTGGAGCTAGCTACATTTTTATTTTTAATAATTTTAAAAAAGAACTAGCGTATGCCTTCGTTTATCCTGTGGTGCTTTTGAGATAAATTATTCAAACCAAAATTTCATGAGATACGTTTTTAATTTTTGAGAAATTTCACCTAGTAAAGAATGGATTGAAGACGCAAAACTAAAGTTACCAGCTAAAAAGAGAAAAGAAGGGGAAATACACAAGGGAATAAATGGTTCTTCATCACTTGTTTCAGTCAGTTCTGCAAGAAAGAAAGATACATTTAACTCCTAGATGAGATTTATCCGATAACAAGAGTTTTGCCGTTCAGCTTTGTAAGATATTCATCTATTTGACACCTGCGATACACAATTCCAAGCTATGTTCTCAAAATGGACAACAATCTTTTTCCTTTTCTTCTACAAACACATACCATTCTCTCGTTTCTTTATCGTTTATCGATTAGATCAACGTTTGTTGGTCATTTGATTACGAAACAGCCTGTTTCTTCTGTAACTAATAACCTTCCATCCAAGTACTTGGGAAGCACTTGAACAAGAATTTAGCAAGCGTTCCATCTCTCTCGACCTATCAGCATTTCCGAATGGGAACCATGCTCCGAACACCCTACACAGTCATTTTTGGCTATTTTCTATACAACAACTGTACAGTATGCTCCGATAGGTTTCTTGTTAAAAAAAATATTACCATGAGACTCAGCGTAGTCGATAACCTATATTTCCATTCATTTTTCAGATTTGCACGTCAAGATTATTGACTTCGGGGCTCTCTGAGGCATGGCTGCCATCCGGAAATGTTGATAGGTGAAGAGTTCGAACTTGTGTAGAGTTGAAGGAGAGAGACAAAAGACACGAAGCCATCTATTAAATCAACGTAGAGATATATCAAGTGTCTTGACGTCCCCACGAATGACAAACAGTTCAAAAAGTTTCGATGAGGCTTACCGCCTGCAGGTGATGGTTTGAACGGGCGCCGCAGATTTTCATACTTCCCTCGGTGTCTAGTTTTGAACGGTGAAAACCACAAGTCTACATCACTTTTCTATCGAATGTTGTTTAAAAAAATGCTTTGCTTCACTATATTTTGAAATGGATGGTGTTATGCTGACGAAAATACTGATTTTTTTCTTATCTAGTGCGACATACTTTACAATCCAGACAGATCAGAAAACCATTTGGGCAAAAAACCGTTTCCAGGTGGAAAACCGGTTTTCTATCAAAGCAGGTTTCCGAAGTGATAAGGCCAGCTCCCACCATGATATTCGGAATCAGCATCATCGATTACCTATAACACACAGTTATTAGTTAACTCTCATAATTTTATGATCACAGTGAATATCGTTCATATTGTAGAATAAAATACACAGGTAAACTAAGTTTATATAAAAAGTTCTGCCGAAAAAGATGTAATAATTCATTACAATACGTGTGCTGTCACTTTTGCATTTACACGTGATAAAAGAAAAATACTGTGCACAATAATAAAACAAAAAAATTACGAGTATTATGAAAAAAATGCTTCATTCTTCACCTACATTATAGCAAATATGTCAATTTTAGCAAGAAATAATTATTTGTCAATGCTTTAAAACTGCATACAAGTATGAGATTTCTTCAAGACAAATTATATTTTTATATAATCAGCAAAAGTTTTGAATGTCGTCTGTCAAATATGGTCAATTTTAGTATTTTGATTCAGTTGATCCTGTAAAGAGAACATTGTCTACGAGATTGCCTTGCAACTCTTACTAACATCCTGTTCATAAATAAATGATAGCATTCAAAATATATGTTTGGTTTTACTTTCAAGTTTCATTAATAACAACAAAGTCTCAGACGTTGGTTTCTCATTCAACTAATTGTTATCAGTCGGCCCTTCCAACGTTTCATCACTGACTTGTGTCCAGGATTCGATCCTCTGCTCTTTAACTGGTAATCGGCAATATTAACCATTTGTCCACACTGACACCTTACCATTTTTGTTTTCATTCAAACATAAATTAGCTATTTGAATAATGAATAAAGGTCTAGAACTATTCACTTACCAAAAGCAATAAGTGTTCGTGCTATTCAATCTTATCGTGTTTTCAAAAATAAAGCGCATTTGTAAAGAAACGAAAAAACCCGATAATAAAGGCATAAGAATAGATGATGAGTTTTACAGGATCAATCATGATTTAACTATCTGTAGAATTATTTCAGTTCAAGGCAGTTCGCTCTCGAAGTAGCGAGGATTGCAGAGGTGGAAGCATTCGTTAGAAATATTAATTCCGTAGTAAATTTGTATCATTTATAAACGTACTATAACAGAATATTCAAACCATTTTAGCGAGAAAAAGTAATATGAAATTTCGGATATAAAATAAACAGTAGAAATCAAAACTTTCCGTAGGAAATTATCAGATGAATTTCGTGAATTACTCCAATGCTAGATTCTTCCAATTGAGACAGTAAGTTCAAAATAATTGTAAAACAAAAAACTAACACTTAAAGCTAGAGGATTATCAATCGGTTCGAAATAGAGTGCAAGACCATTCTACTACTCGATGCAAAACATCTTTTTTGTCTAAAACTTCTGGCTTACAGAGTTCAGAAACATGATAATCTCTATACCGCTTCAGCTAACTCTCAACACCGAAGTTCATACTTTATAATAGGGACGAGATAAAAAAACAGATTCCCACTCTTTCTCTAATAAATGATTCTTACTCAACTTTGAAACAGTTAGTATCCAAGAATTTTTCTACAGAGGTGTGAAAAAGCGCTGGTGAGAATCAATAAAGTAGTCTGCTTACTCTCACTGGTTTCTGAGAGATGTGAGCGATTTGCAGCAGCATGTTTGTGTTGAATCCTTCGCTAAGTCAAAAATGAACATACTACAGAGATACTCGCAAAAAACATGCTTATTTATCGCAGACATATTGTTCCAATTGCAAGATACTTAGAACTAACATCTCAAATTACAAAAATCGATTGGGTTGTGCGTTCAATTGAATTAACAAACACATATCTATTCTTACATTGTCCAATGCCGTTTATCAGCCACATCTGTTTTTCTTAGCTGCAAACAAAAACACGCGAAGAAAGAAAAGCAAAAGATCAAATAAAAACAAATTAAATGGTATCTCGCTACACTTAAGGCAGAAAGAAAGAGTGATTATATCAGATAATAAGTGCACTACCCAAATATTTATGTGCTAAAAGAAAAAGAGACATTGGCAACCGCAAAAAGGTAAAAGAGGGAGAGAGAGAAACCAATTCTTGCCATCAACGACCATCGTCGACAACCCCTTTCAGTATGTACGTGTGCATTTTTTTTCTGTTTGCTACAAAAAGAAACAAACAAAATCAGATTAATAATACAATGTACAAAGAGAGAGAGAGAGAACAAGAATAAAATAATTTTCAAATAACACCATGATCATAATCATAAATATGTATATTTTGCTGTTGTTGTAGTCGATGTAATGTCATTTGATCTTCTCTAAGTAATAGAACAGTTTTTATACACACACATACATATACATCAGAGAGATGAGAAACAACAAGCATTTAAATACATATTATATAAATTGAGAAGTGTGACCTAGAAGCAATAAATAACAAAAAAACAAAAGATAGATGATGTCGTGTTGTGTGAGGGAAAAAATTAAATAACTTATGCAACAGAGAGCGAGAGACAAAGAATGGAATAGGTTGTACGTACGAATGGCTTCATGTCTAAAAGAGAACGGAAGATTATTTACCTTCCAATGTTATCAAGACGATCCCCATGGTTGGCTGTAACCAGCATACATTGCCCAAGGATTAACCATTCCAGCTGCAGCGGCTTGTGCAGTAGCGTTGTTTGCTGTCGATGCTGCATTATTTGTAGAAGAAGACGAAGAAGATTGTTGTCCACTTTGATTTGATGCAGTTGTTGAAGTACCTGTTGCTTGTGGCTAGAAGAATGAAAAGAATTGGTTGATTATAACTTTTTTTTCGTCTGTAACTTTAACTATTTTTCCATACCTGACTCATTTGTCGAACTATTTCATCAGCAACTTCATTTTGTCCAATAGAACGATAATATTCAATCCATGCTTGGCTATAATCTGGTTGACCAGTTGACGGATTGGTAGCTAAAATCAATTCAGTACTGATTACTGTAATAAGCAAGAAAAGCTCCTGACACCTACTCGCTGTAGCTGTGCTCATCCTCCATTGTTCTTGTTCTTTTGTAGACTGAGTTGTTGATGTATTACCTGCAGTAGAGGATTGTGGAAAAGATGGTGTTGCATTTGTGGTTGATGTCGATGTAGTTGTAGTGGTCGTGCTGGATGTTGAAGCGGTCGGCATCACCATTCCAGACATATTGGCATAAAAATTCATACTCTGATAATAAGCCATCCAAGCTGGATCCATGGCCATCGGAGGTGGCGGAGGAGGAGGAGGTAAGGGAGATGCGGTAGAAAGCGGAGGATTTCTTGAATTTGAAGAGGAAGTTGGCATCGATTGATCAGGCATAGGCATGCCAAATGGATCCACTAAAACGGAAAAAACAGCGGCAATTAATTTCCATCATGTGCATCAGAACTACTGCAAATTTCATAGAGTAGAAAACTCTGCACAAGTTAAAAGAGAACAAAATTGGATATCTTATCTAATATAAGTAAATGGGCTATTCAAAATTACTGTTAGCACACTCATCCTCTCTCACACACACAATAACAACCACTACCGATTCTAAAAGAATAGACATAACAAAAGCTTACTTGGCCAACCTCCATAACCACCAGATGGCCATCCTTGTCCGGCATATTGCTGATTCATCATATCACCGTTACCGTTGCCGTTACCATTTTCACCAAATCCTTCTTGATTTGAACCAACTTGTGGAAGGTTAAATTGTTGCTGAAACTGTAATGGTGTCAACATATCGCCTGGACCGCCTGGGCTCTGAAGAAAAAATAAAACTTCCATTTCTCCAAGTAAAAATAACTTATCCGATAAAGTTCTTAATATAGCATTGAAATATCCAGTTGTTCATCTACTTACATGTAGTACTTTTTCAAACATTAACTGTTGAGCATAGACAATTTGATCAGGGGTTCCACATAATTTGAATAATCGATCGCCAGGTGTGCCTGGTTGGTGTGTTTTATCAATCTCAACAAATGCTCCTGATTTACGATTGATTTCTTTTATACTTTCACCACCTATATAAAGAAAGAATAAAAAAGATGAGAGGATCATTATTGCATATCTTGACTATACCTTTTCCAATAACAATTCCGGCTTTATCAGCCGGTACATGGTAAAATGCTTGTTGTTCACCTCCACCATTCGACGAATAGCCAGACTGAAAGAAGAAAAGCAGTAACATACATGATGAAATATCCACATCTCTATATTCCAGCTAATTATAGTCGAAACCTCTATTTTCCGTCTTGAGAATATTAAAAACTTACTCTTGAACCATAATCATTAAATCCCCTATCTCGATCACTTCGTCTTCCTTCTCTATCACCACCTCTTCCACCCATATCTGAATCACGTTTAGCCATTATATCAAGCACATATTGTCGTGCACGCTGAAAAATAAACAAACAAAGTGATATCTATATTTATAAACACTTGATTGTCTACTAACTTCCACTCTGTCAGCATCGCCCGTTATTTTTAATGGTTTCTGATTGCCACTTTGATCAACGGCTTCTTGAATAACATGCATTTTAACGCCAAACTCTTCCTAAAAATAAGCAAAACAAGGAAATAAACTTTATACCGTATAATGAAGAATCCACCTACCGATACTCGTTTAATATTTTCACCACCTTTTCCAATGATCAATCCACATTTCGCCGATGGTAACATTATTTCGATTGTTTTAAGTCCACCACCTCCTCCTCCCCCTAAAGAATATGAACTCATCCCTCCACCGCCTTCTCCTGGTTTTCCTTTAGATACTATGTCATCAATCATTCGTTTAGCACGATCAATAGCATCGCGTGATCCACTCAATGTTGCTAAACGATCGGGAATCATATTTCCAGGTTCTGGTGGTGCTCTCGACGGTGATATTTGTACTTTGCAACCGGATTCGAACTGGATTCGCGTTATTTGTTCACCACCTTTACCAATTACTAACCCCACTAATTTATCTGGAATTTTATAATCTTCAGTAATAGTATTTTGATTTGATAATGGTAAATTGCCTGAAACAATGCAAAATAAGCAATAGAATCTAAAGTCATGAAAAGATACATTATTTATATTTAATAAAATTTCAGAAATACCTAGCATTAATTCACCCGAACCACCAGCACTGGAACTCGATGATTTATTTAGTCCACCGAGATGGGCATTAATTTGTTGAGCAACGAGTTGTGCCTTTAACACCGGTAATGGGACTTCACTACTTGGTGAGGAACCAAATTGTGGACGTTTCGCTGACTCGTGCTCAGTTGGTGTACACGAATCAGCTGGACGTTTTAATGATTGAAATGAATCAGATGATTGTGTTGGTGCTGCATTAGCTAATTTCTGTGCAATTTGTTTCGCTCGTGCTACTGCATCTTGAAATGCGTTTGTACCTTGCATTATTTTTCTATATCTATCTAAATAACTCGAGAAGAAGAAAATAAGCATTAGTTAACTCTAGCAAGTGAACACATATAACTAGAATCATATGATTTAAATAGCTACTTGCACACAAACTGACAACAACAAAAAGTAAAACGCGTTTTCCGTATCGTTATCTAAGCTCTTGACCTTTTTCTCATCCAAAACCTGATGTACTAGTGAAAAAAACCAAACCGATAAAATGAAATGACATCATAAAACGAAAGTAAAAATAGTAGTGTGTACAAATCTATGTTTTTTAAAAATAATCGTTAAAGTTTGATTGAATACTTTGTAATGTAATACCTGAACTTGATTTCTTTCTTATTTAATCGTAATACATAATACAAAGAGAGTTCAGTCATTCATTAATTCAACCATTTCCAAATTTCGAACGGAAAAGTTGACGCACTTATGCAGTCTGGCCAATATTTAATATTAGATGGGGTGGAGGGTGTTGTCACAGAGTTTCTAGAATTTATGGCTACATTCAGTTTTTTTCTATGTTAAACATTTTGTTCGATTTTCTAGGCACTAGCACGTAACATAAGTGAGCTTCTGACGTTAGTCTCTTTGGCTGACATTGTGTAGAGTATGAAAAAGGTCTCTTAAATATAATTTTCGTTTCTTAGTACTTTTTTTCTGGTTTGATTGAGGTCTTAAGATAACTCTACGATCTATTTTGCGATTTAGGATAATTAAAATTAAAATTGTTATTGAGGGCACACGTAATTATTCAAGGCAAACGTCTTTTCTTCCACCTTTTACTGAATTCATGGGAATACCCTAGTATTTCTGATAATTGGTGGTTCCTGTAAGCACAAAGTGGTCGTCCATTTTGCAACGTCCGATTGCTATCCTGTTTTCTACCCTGTAAATGGAGAAAATTTTCAAAAATTTTCTTTTCTTTTTTTTAACTTTTAGTGTCATTTGGCTTGAGTCATCGTCATTACAGGTCCATGACCTTTGGTGGCTCTCACTTTTCGAATAAAACAGTCTTAGTCTTAGTCTTAGAAAACTATTTTGTGAACCACTTCGCTTTTACTATTATACATATCACAATAACGCGTATTTTACGATGACTTTTTTCTATGGGTTAGTACACTGGAGAAACGTGCTTTTTCTCATGGTGTAGCCTTTCAATGAATTTGTGTTCAGACCTTATTTTAACTTCAGATCTACAGTTAGTTTGAAGTTTAAGTATTCCATGTTGTGCAATGAGTGCAGAAATTGTTCGAGAGCAATTTTCAGCTTTACAAAAACAACAAGAAAGACGGCTGAATCTTTTAAACGAAAAGAAAACAAAAAAGAAGACAGCTGATGTATGTATGTATTATTCAACAAAATACGTCTTGCACTTACTTTTTGTTCTATTGGTTTACTAGGCTAGTGTGTCGATGAATTTGGAGGTGGATTCTGGACCATTTCCAATAGAAGAGGTAACTGAATTGTTTCACAACTTCAATGGTTGATGAATAAACGTGCTTTACAACCGCTTATTTAATTGCAGAAAAGCGAATAAGGACTATCTCGAGTTCCAATGGCTTTTCTGTAATGAAGTAAGCGATTGTAAAACAAGTTTTTTCATTTATAACAAGATCTAGTTTGAAAATAAACATTAGCTGTTATTTTTCATTTAGAATAATATAATTAGTTCAATTATTAAACAACAAAATGTCGCGCAAGAAAATGGAAATCAAGAACAAATACGCGTAAGTGATAACTGTTACTTCATATTTTGGCACTGGTTTTCTTTTTCCAAGGGACAATTTCGAGAAGGGTACAATAGGTTCTGTTCCAGTGTGATTTGAGTCTTCGTCTAATAAAAAAATTTTTGAGTGTTCAGTCCGAAGTTTTTTCTTTTCTCTAAACAAAATTTGTGTTGAAAAAGTGACGATCTAGTGAATAGTATCTGCATATTCTTACATATGATAGTTAAAAAAATTTTCTGTCCAAACATGAGATGTTTGGCTCAGTTAAGTCTTAACTTTGTGAAAAAATGCATCAGAAGTCTAAAAGTCCTAGATGCGTCATTGACTGTTTCAAAGTATAGAACTAATTATTTTGTTCGTATCCAAACGCATGGAAAAATACCACAAAAAGAGCAACAGATTACTACTACAGACTATTATTACACAATTCTTGTAGCATAAATAAAGAATAGTCTAGTTTATTTCGCTTTCTGAATGTAGAGATTGAACTATTTGCAATTTACATTTATTTTTGATTCTAAACAAACTTCAACTGTTTTCTAATCAGTACTCCAAAAAAAATTTTTTTTTGTTTTTCTCTCAGGAATTACGAGATGAAAATGGACGTTTACGAAAGTTATTAGCTGAAAAAGATTATGAAGTAAATTATTTAAGACGAATATCGGAAGAAGAACGAGCAGCATTTACAGGTATGGTAAGTGTTCTTCTACAATTTACATCCCAAAACTTCTTTTGTCAAAATAAAAGTGAATACATTCTCTTTTCTAGGCGGTAATGTCGGTGGCGATGCAATAGCAACTAAAGTGGTTGAGTTATCAAAAAAAAACCGCGAATTATGCGCCGAATTAGAAGGTGAACGTGCAAAATTAAAAAAACTGAGTATTAAATGTAAAGAATTGGAATCAGTTGTAAGTTAAAAGTGTATTACAGAAACATATGTTATTACAGTAATGTATTTGTCCTTTCATAGAATAATACCAAATCACAAACAGAACGACGACCGTCGATTACAGATGAGGTGAGTTATTCTCGTTGTTGTTTGTAACAATGACTGTTATCATCATCTACTACTTGAGTAAAGTTGAGCCATTTGTCATACTTGTCCATAATTTTGTGTGGTTCGTTCGTCTAGTGCATATTGCTGATATTCCACAATATGTAATGACTGTTTCAAAAGAACTTTTAGCAATGATAATATTTTTCATTTTTCTCTTTATCTTTAGCATAACGAAAATTATTGCTAAGATTTTGTGCACAGAAATCTTTAGATCTTTAGAAAATCAAATTAAGGTTTCAAGGTCTTTGTATTATTCATTCAGATGATTCAAGAATTGTCAGGGTATTTGTTAAGAGATGTTTTAGGATAGATTATTGAACTCCTACTTTTTTCAAAATAAATTCTTCATTCATTCGCCACAAAAACTTGTCCTGAATGTGTTACTCCAAAATGAGAAAGTACTATACTCATCGTAAAATAACTTATGCGGTGTAAAGATTGACCTCTTGAAAGTCAGGCGAGAACAGTAAAAACTTCACCTTTTCCGTTCATTGTATCAGAAAAGCAAATGTACTCAAATGAGGAGGAATGGGTTTCTGTCCATTACTTTCCTGGCCTACTTTTAAAAAACAAATTGTAAGCAGTATCATTCAGATTATTCATTTCTCAATCAACGTACAATATAGAAAAATATGTACAATGTGGAGAAAAGCAACATATTTACAAGTGGAAAGCTGTGCTAACTTTCTTTGAACGTTCTTTACCATTGCATTTCCTCATGGTTGAATAGATGATTTCTCACTGATTAGATAAAAGCTAAAAAAAATAGCTAATCAAACCGCTTGGCAAGATATATCGTTCTCATTCTGGTTCAGTGGTTTTCTGCTATAGCAACAATCTTGTTGGTCAGTGGTACAATTACATTCCTACATGTTCACTGAGTATGAAACAACATTCGCATAAACACTTGGTTAGATTAGTTACTTTATTTAATCAAGTTAGTGAGCAAACATCCTATTTAACCATGAGGAAATGCAATGGTAAAGAACGTTCAAAGGAAGTTAGCACAGGTTTCCACTTATAAATATATTTTTCCAGTGATATGATTTTTCGAAACGGTGCTTTTGCTTCTGTCTGCTCTACATAAAAATACTATAATAGAATAGAAACACGTTCATTGACTAAAGTCATTTTCGTCGCTGTCTATACCGTCTTTTTGTTTATACTTTATATCTTTCTGGGAACTGCTGATCATAGTCTGAATATTTATGACTGTCTTTGACGGTTATAAAAGACTACAAACTGCTTCCTACATTCAAAAATCTGAAGACGATTTTGATCATGATGAAATGGCTTCCTCTATAAAAATTCGGTTGAAATTAAGTCAGAAAAGTGATGAATGTAAAACTCCTCGATGTAAATCAGTCCCCTCCTTCCAATATCTGGGTGTAATAGACTAACCATTTAGTCTTAATCTGAGCTTAAACGATTGATTTTTGGTGTAGTAACATGAATAGGACTTGATAGCACAACAGAAACGATGTTTTTTCAAATCTGAAAAAAATATGATGTGAAGAGTCTAACTATATCTAGAAGATTGGGCTTCCGAAGGTCACAACATGTCTAATTAAATTTTTTCATCTCTCAAATAACTACAGAGTAAAACCAAAAAAACTTGTATTTACTTTTTTCTACTTTCTTTTCGGCACTTATTTTGCGGAATTTTTTATCTTATCTGGCACTTTGCTATTAAAATAAAGTATTCATGACATATCGGCGTGGGTAGCTAATTCTACTATCGCACGGGACTTCCGTGACGCTTTTTCTTCATTTTGTTGTGTCAATATATACCAAGACAAATAGTACTCAATGTTTTATTAAGACCTTCAGAAAAAAACATTTTTCTAGAGTGCAGATACATCTTAAAATGTTCACAAGACTTTCTCTTCAATTTAAAACGTCTCGCGACTCTCTGCATGGTTCGGTTTGGTATATATTGACACAACAAGATGAAGAAAAAGCGTCACGGAAGTCCCTTGCGATAGCAGAGTTAGCTGCCCCTTCAATATCTGTTTTTGAATTATAAGAAAAATAAAAAATATTTTCGTCGCCAATTCTCTTAAAACACCTGTGAAGTCTAATTAACTCTGCGATAGTGACAACCTTTTCGTTCAATAGTACCATACCACTAGTTTATTTTAAAAGTTTCGCAACAAGTTAGAAGCAGTTATAAATCGTTAAACTATCTTACTTGTAGAGTTCTGTTGATGTCACTGGTTGGTTGCACTGTTCGACAGCTTGTTGATGTCAACCACAATAGAGGATAAATCGTTTTTTTATAGATCATCAAGATATTTTTTTAAATAATGCCTCGATTTAAACCGCGATTCACAAAATCTTACGTTTCCATGATATCCTATGGCTTACCTTCAGAGCAATTTGATCCTAGAATAGAGTTTCCACCTAGGAGAAAGAAATTCATTAAGAACTAAAATAATCGTCAACCGAAATTTAAGCTTAATCCTACAGTTCGTCTATAGGTTTCCAAGACAATATAGTTCGAGAACACTATGATTCTTTAGAATATAGATGATTACTTGACTTTGTAGAGTTTATTTTTATGATCTATAGCAAATACTATTGCTCAATACACTTTGTATTGAATTTATCGTACAGTGAATATTGCCATAGTGGTGAGATACGATAGATCTCGATGATCTAACTATTGCTCTTAAAGATTTAAGAAACGTAGTGATTTAACATGACTTTGGAATCAGCTAATGAAAGCAGCATTTTTTTCCCAGTAATTCAATACAAGTTTATATTTATTTAGTCTTCACTGTTTATTTTTCTAGTTCGTAGAAGTTCTATCGATGTTATGTGCTTAAAACTCTCAAAGTACACAATTGACCTAAAGTCTAGGAACGAAATGATATTCTAATAAGAGACCGAATGTTTCTGTCATTTAATACTAATAATTATCTCAATAACTCTCAATTTTAGAATAAATCTGATAAAGAATTAAAGGAACTGAAAGAGAAGCTAAAAGATATTCAAGCTCGACACACCGAAGCAAAATCACAATTGGATATACTTAAACAAGAATTGAAAAAAACCCAAAAGGTACCTTTGAATGATAAGTTTCAAATAAAAATTTAATTTAATTTTTTGAAAAATTATTTTCAGGCATTAGAAAAAGAAGTCGGTGATTCAGTAAACGTTCAGGCTATCTTAAATGGTAATGCAAATTGGCGTGGGCGACAACAACAAATTATTGCTTTGCAAGAAAAAGTATGATATTAAGAGCAGTTTGAATTTTGAGTAATATTTCTATTTTTAGCTCTCCGATTTGAAAAATCGTATTGCAGTAAATGAAACGAGTCGTATTCAACATCAATTTGATGATGAGTGGGATGCTACTTCGTTGTCTACTCGTTACGATGAAACACTAAATAATACGCGTCACTCTCTACTTGACAGTCGTCATCGTGACGACATACGAAAACTAGAAAAAGATCGTAAAGAACATGAACAACAACAGAAACAAGAATTAGAAACTCTTAAAATTGATCTACAAACATATAAAGATAAATTTGAACAATCAAAAACACGAAATACAGTGTTGAATAACGACTTGAAATTACATCGTGAACAACTAAAAACTGCTCTTGAGAAAGGAAAACATGATGATGAACTTATTGAAGCATTATTAAAACAACAACAACAAATGAAAACGTTAGTAGAACAAAAACAAAGAGAGGATGAACGAAAAGTTGAACGAGATCAAAAAGATGAACAATCGGCAAAAATTGAATTGATGAAATCAAAAAATTTGATTAAACAATTACAATCAGTTATTGACATGAAAGAAATTAGAATTCGAGAATTAGAATTAGAATTAGATGAAAATGGAATTAAGGTAAAATTAGAGAAGCGATATATTTTAAAACATATTTTTTACTTTTGATTTTCATTTTAGTACAATAGAGATGACAATAACTCAATCGATACTATAGAACAAATGGAACAATCTGTAACAATCACCAGTCGCCGTGTAAAGTCTTCAACACCCGTAATACTCGGACCAATACAAAAGACCACTGCACCATTATCATTACCAGAAAATACCACAACAGTTGTTGTTAATCCTGTTCAATTAACAAGTTTAAAACAACAGAAACAACGTGATATAGTTGATCAAACTGTTTTATCACGATTAGAAAAAAATGGTTTTACATCTAGACCAAATAGTTCATCATTGAAAACAAATGAAACATCATCTACTGTAAGAATACCCAGTTATAGGCATTCCGGAAACTGCAGGATTCCGAAATTTGCGAAAAATGTAACGTGTTTAGTGAATGTAGCATATCAGTACGCAAGAAACGGCGAAGTCGATACAAACAACAGGCGGGAATATGCGTGTAAAGCCTCTGTTTCCAAGACAATGTGCACTTCCTGCGTATTATTTTTCCTACACTCACAGCTTCTTGCGTGTTTGTGTCACAAATTCGTTAGACGTGTAAAATTTTTCGTAAATTTTGGATTCCTGTAGTTTTCAGAATGACTATGACTGGCCGAATATATTGACTCTTCAAGTAATTAAAGAACTGAACAAATTTTTATTATTATTTTTAGGAAAATAACAATTTATCTCATAAATGTAAAGAATTACAATCTTTAAATTCTGCGTTGGATATTGAACGTAATGGTCTTGTTGACTTAGTCAAAACATTACAAAAACGTTTAGATGAATCGACAACAAAATTCGTTGAATTAGATTCAAAATTAATTGAACAACGAAAACAAAATATTTTAATAGAAAAAGAGTATGAACGAACAAAGTTAGATTTAGCTAACGCTAAAAATAGAACAGGTATGTTTTTTCTCTCTCTCTTTGAATAATAACATTACGATGACTAAATTTATTTCTTCGTTCAAAAAAACAAAGGCGGTGGTAAAGGAAAATCGGCAACAACAGTAAAAACAAATGATAATCGTCTGGATATAGAAGAAATGGAAACAAATTTAATATTAAAAACGGAAGAAAATGATGCTTTGAAAAATGCTTTAAAATCTATGCTAGATGCGAAGGAAGAAGATTTAAGATTATATAATGAAACAATTGAATCAGTTAAAAATATATTTCTACAAGGAATTAAACAATATAAACCAACCTGACTAATTTTATTTTGAGTTTATGGATTTTTGCTTGTTCTTCTTTCTCATATCCGGGAAGAATATGAAAATTTTCTTATTAACTGATGTATATGTATGCGTGTGTGCGTGATTTCTATTCCTATCCTCTACTGACAATTTATTATTTAACTTTTACAACCACCAAGATTATAAGACACTGTTATTCTAATAACAGTGTTCAAAATTCACTGACTATAAAACTGAAAATTAGAAGTTACACTAGTAAATAAAAAAAAATATTCATTAATTAACCATGGTTTTAATTAAACACTTAAATAATATTACTGTAATTTCATTATCATATGAAAAATTTTCTTTTGTTGTTGTTGTTGTTGTTGTTAATAACAAAAAAAATTTTGTGTGATTATGTGCATTCATTTTCCTTAGTGTCACATACCTTTTTTAAATTTTTGACTACGATGTAATCATGTGGGTGTGAGAAAACTATTGTTTTATTTTTTATTGCTTGAAATTTTCATTCTTCATATGCTTGTTTTCCCTATTTGTTGATGCATATAAATTCTCGAATGAAAAACACTATATTCATTGACTGAATATGGATATATATATATATATATAGGTAAAGACAGTAATAAGAAATGAGTGTCATGTTGGTGTTGTCAAATTATCATTTAGTGTGAATTTTGAATGCATAACGCTAACTACGATTACGATAAAAAGAATAAAAAATGATATTGAAATTTTTTGTTGTTTCTTCTATGAAAGAATGTTTTTTTCACAAATTAAAATAACAATATTATACTTATTTTTTATCACTCAGCAACCAAAAACTGTGACATATTTATACCATAAATTTTAATTTGTAATTTAGTCATATACCAATCTGAATTTTATTTATGTGATTGATGTTTTCTCAAAATGTTTTTCTTATCAATAGGATATAAACCATAGAAATTGGCCAATTTTGTTTCACAAGTTTGTGTGGGCAAATAGTAGTTGAAATATATTATTAAAAATCTATAAAATTTCTTATTATCAAGTAAAAAAAGAGAGAAACCATCAACTTTGAAGGCATAAGTTAATCTTTAATTAGACAAAAACAATTTTGTTATTCTTTTATTTAAAACTCTTCTCCATTTTGTAATTTCTTATCTGTAATATAATTCTAATATTTTTTGTTATAGTCGTGTATGTCGCATTGTTTCCGTTATTAATTTTTTTGACATTAATTATTGTCCGTCAATAAAAAAAAGAAAAACAGACGTTATCAATATATATGTCAATGATAACTTAACGAAGACCAGTCTTTTTTGTCATTCTACACATTGTCATATCAATATCTACAAAATAGAAAAGATTTTGAAAAATAATTTCTAATTTTAGCTATTTTCCTTTCTCTGTAACAGATGTTTGGATCATAATAATAATGAAAATAAAGATCTAGGCAGTTGGTCGTGTTATTTTAGACAAAGAAAAAAAAAAAAGAGAATAATTAGGATTATTTTTGGTTATCGAAGTATTAATCAGAAGCTAAAAATATTCATGATATATTGAGGATGTCTTAGAGATATTGTTTTTGATTGTCTATCACTTTTTATAGAGTAAGACAAGAAGAAGAAGAAAAAGAAAACCTATCTTAAAAATACTATATTCTCTAGTAGTAATTTTGTAAAAGAGAATGTTTTTTAGCTAAAAATAGTCATTTATTTTCGGTTAAGTAATTATAGCAATGAAATTCAGATAGATCAAATATTTTAATTGTTTGCATATAGCTAAAATAACGATTTTTTTTTTGGAGGAGTTTTGGTTTATATATATAATTTCTATCAAAAAAAACAACATAGTTTCCATCTCTATTTGATTGTGCTATACAGTCATTGTTCTATTTGTCTTACGCTTTCTATTTGTTAAAAATTATCTATCTTTGTTATTTCGTTCATCTTTACTAACGTTTCCACTTAACAGAAGAACTTGAAAAAAAAAAAAAGTTTTTTTTCCTTTGTTTTCTCTCTCATACACTAGGTAGTTAGTTAGATGCTTAAGATAGAAAGAAAGAGAAAGCATAGTACACGCTATAGTAAATATACAATGCCAGATAAAATTGAACGATAATATAGGAGAATCTATGTAGCAGTGAAACAAACATTTCCGTTATTCTCTTTTTTTTCTTCTTACTCTTCACTAAATGTATTCTATGTCGCTAAAAATGGAAATGGAGCTTGTCTTATCGTTAATGAACGAGTATATATGCTACTAAACAATAGATGAATGAGTGAATGAATGAATGAATGAATGAATGAATGATGATGTTTGCTACATACTAGAATTTTTTTAAAAAAAGAAAAATCGTCAAATTTTCCTGCTTTTTTTTTATATATATTGATGACAGAACAAAAGAAAACTGTCTATTCTAAATATGTAGTTTTACTAAATGCAATGACACATAAACACACACACCAGATAATATGCTCTAACAAATAAATTCATAGTCGATCTGTTCACACATCAAGTGAGTATATAATTGTATAAATAAAATGGACGACGAATGAAGGTTAAGTACATTTTGTTTTTTAATAATGACGTTTCTTTTGGCTTATTTAGAGAATCTGGATAATCGCCTCTTTTCTTCTTGAATCCTCTCTCTTTATTATTTATCTATTTCTCTGATTTCTGAGAGCAAAAGTAAACAGGTTTTTTTATTTTTTTTCTTTCTCTTTTTCTTTGATTTCCCTTGAGATATGTAATTATACGATTAAGTTAGCAGAGATGTATGATTACAACAATATATACTATTAAGTAATCATTACAACGAAATAAAAATAAGCGAAGTGTTATATTTAATATAACTTTTTTTTCCCGGTAAGTCTAATGGTTTTTACGTGATATAAATCAATTTCTACTTTAAAATACAATTGTACCCAAGAGGACATAATATAATTGTTAAGCATCATTATCTTATAAAAATGTGACATGAATTATTCTGATAGATATTTTTAATATAGTCTCTTATTTATTGTTTCTAATGTCGATGACTATAGTTTGAATAATCATCAATTAACCTTTTTTTTCTGAACGTTGTGTTGTTGTTTTTTCAATATGCATAGATCATTAATTACTAAGCCGATAAATGCATATGAAAACGTTTCAAATCAAATTTTAATGTCAACGGTAAATTTTGTATACCTTGATATCTATTCTTTACTTTTTAACTATAAATAGAATATTTTATCAATAAATAACGGTGTATTCTTTTTTTAACTTTATCAACTTAAATATTGATTAATTAAATAGGTACTTAGTGTACTATAATGACAATTGCTCTTCAAAGATAATTATATATACTATTTTTAGTAAAACGAAAAAAAACTAATACATTAAAATAGTTTTTGATCAATCAGCATTTGATTATATAATCCATTTACATATTTTTTTTTTAGGAAAAAAAATATTTATTATCGAGAGATTCTACATTTGTCTCTTTTTACTGACAGAGTCACGCAAATATTCTATAAAAGGATTAAGTGTATCAAATTGCTGCATTCAACAAAAACAAATAACAAATTTACACCACATAAAATTAAAAAAAAGAAGAAAAAAAAGAAGATATTATTTTGAAAAAATAAATAAATTTGTTTTTCTCATAATTTCATATGACCATTATGGATATACGATGTTCAAAATGAACGTTCGGATTTTATTATTCAAAAAATAGATTAGACAATTTAGAAGAGTATTACGTCGTCATTAGTTACAAGTGAGTTTTTAGTCGATAGTTTACATCATATTCGTATTTTTTTCTTCTTATGTTATTCAAAATCCTATCCTACAGTAGTAAAGTTTGTTTTCTTCTTATCCGTATGAGATGCATCAGAAACGACAAGTGTATGAAACGGAAGAAAAAGTGTTTTTCATAAGAATAAGTAATGTCTTCATAGTCTGAGAATCTTACTCAAGAGAGTTATGTACGTGAGAAAAAAAGCATCATGTGAAATTTGTAAAGGAAAAATTAACTGCCTTTTCTCTAGTACCTAATTTCTATTCGCTCTATTAGGTACTAGAGAAAAGGCAGTTAATATTTTTGTTATTCTATAACGTCATTGTTATTTGACTAGTACTCTTAACCATTTTATTTTCAAGTTTTATTATAGTACGTTCACACAAACAATATAATCGACACTATTAACAATTGAAATAACGGATGTGCCAGAAGAAATATGTCACTTAGTGATTCGTCAATATCTCTGTCAATTTTCATTGCTAAAACTTGAACTTCCGTTTTAAAAAGATTCATCGTTCAATCGTCTACAAAAACTACATTGAACATTTTTTATATATGGTATAAATAAAGGAATATGGATGAAACACTCCGAAACTTTAGTCTCCATTACTTTGTGGCCTAAAAAATAGTTTTTTAAATTTTAGTCCTTTATAACTTGCGATATAAGATAAGAGAAAATGATCATTTTGTAGCCCTTGAAAAGCTCTATCAACTGGTCATATTAAACTTTTCATCATTACGACTGATTGTGAAAGAATGCCTTTCCTTTTATCGATTTTACCAGAAATCATTGGCTTCAAACCTTAGTTTTGGAGCACATGACAAAACTTTTATAAATCGGGAAGCTGGTATTGTCTCATCTTAAAACAAAATAATTCTTCTATCGCATCCGAATAGAAAAAGTTCAATAGTTGCATTCCATCTGCTGTGACGTAGCAAACTAATCACAATTTCTCTCTTTTCTGATGAATTTACTAAAATTCCCGTCTGTGCCAGAAAAATACTTTTAAAACCAGCCTGTGGTAGATGAAAAGAAAGGCGACACTTCGGAGCACCAGAGGATACATTTTGATTTTGCATAGAAATGCCTTCAGAATAAATGTTCTTACGCTGAGGTTTGAGTTAGTAATAGAGACTGGAACTTCGGAATGTTTCATCCATATTCCTTTATTTATACCATATATAAAAAATGTTTAATATAGTTTTTGTAGAGGATTGAATGAGGAATCTTTTTAGAAAAAAA